TGTCAACCTGTTCTCATAACCTCGAATATTGGTGTTTATAAATCAACCATACAACACCAAACATTTGAATGGTTAACTCCAAACAAGCTAGTGCCAGTGTAATCTCCTTATTATCCCTTATTAAGCAGCTTCTCGTATTCGGTTAATTAACTCCTGCTCCATTTGTATCTCCTTGTGCTGTGTGTATCGTTCAAACGTGGTAGGATTGTAGCCCTTCCTCGGTATTTATTTGGTGCTTGGGAAATGAGTCAGTTATTGTGCTCTGAGTGCCCCTGTAAGGCCCTGATTCGGTTATGTCCAATACGTGTTCCTCTGTGCCTGGAACCCAAACACCTATCGTCCACTATCTTCCTGGAACCACTCTCCTCGCCCTTTGTTGGCGTGAGTTCTTTCAGCTTCTGCGATTTTACTGTAGCATTTTCCCCAAACTAATCGCATATCCGCAAATTCGTGAAAGGAAATTGAAAGTAAGTCACAGTTTGACAAATTGTTGTTATTATTGACAAAGGCTGTCTACCTGTAACTATCTGTTAATGGCAAAAAACATCATTGCCAACCAATTAACTTTCCATCCAAACATTGTAGAAGAGAACTTTTTTAATATCGAAAATTTTCGGAACTTGAAGCAAAAATCGTAATTTTTCATTTGGAATGCTTAAGTATTCCAATATGCTTCCAATTAAATATGGAACAATTTCAAAATAATGCTTAATAACAAAGTTGAAATTCGATCTTCAACTGTTAAGATCTTCTTGAAATTTTTGAAAAAAAAAATTTCAATATTTTTCTCGTACTCTCCAAGGGAGCCTCTATCACTCCTTAAAAGGAATGACGCCAATTTTGAATCGCCCTGTACATAGTTACAAAAAATATTATGTACTAAGAAAAATTATTATTAATTTATTCGTTTCATGCTAATTAAATATTAAAAACAAACATTGGAAACAAGTATTATTTTTCTAAAAATTTAACGGCTCTCAGGAAGTAAGTGAAAAAAAACTGATTTATGGCAGATGATTAAATGACTAGTTCCCTCAATATTAATCTGACGGAAAAACTTTAAATACAAAAGTTGTAGAAAATTGCATTCCAAATAAATGACACGAGACATTTGCACAATTTAACTGTCATTTTTGACATATGACACATACTTGAGCTTTTTTAAATGGCAACCATATTTTATTATGCCTTTACTGAATAGAGCATTTTATCACGATTTCGGTGATATATCACATCGTTAGGATTTTTTAAAAATAAGTGTCCGATTTTTACTTTCTCAATTTAGTTGCAATAAAAATTATAGTTTCTAACATTTAATTTTAATTAGAATTAGTATGTTTTGACTTTTATAATAAACACTTTTTACACGTTGCCGCCTTAATTAAAATAAAGTTATTACCAATTTTAGGGTAGGTAGTTGTCAAAATAAATATTGAAGCATATTATTATTACCTGTTACTCTAGCAGCACTGCTGTCTGCTTTATATTATTTTCCATGATTAAAAAAATAAAAATCATTCGCGGACACTTCATTTTTGAAAGAACCCAACGGCATGATATATACATACATATATCACTAAAATCGTAACCCAGGTAGCAAGCTGACGATCACTCACGTCAATATGACGTCATCTTTTGATCATATTCGGTCTTTAAAGTAATCTTACAATTTTGACCTGGGGATGACGTCATTACTGGCGTTTCTTTGACGTCACAGGTAACGTTTTTTGGTCCTGTTTTCTAAACCGAAAAAGGTTGTTGGTGCGATTTGAAAAATAATGTTATCGTAGGATTGGGTTGTGGGTTTAGCCTCGGATTGTTTCACTCCACCTTGTGGGTTCAGGGGCACGACTTAGGGAAATTATGCGTGGGCACTCACTTTAACACATATATTGCTATCTTACAAGAAAAGGGTAAAGTTATAAGCTGAGGGCGGATTTTGTATCTCGTTGGGATTCGTGCGTGTAT